ACTGCAGAGTAGCCAGCACATTTTTTTTTTTTTTTAATCTTAGAGCAACTGACTCAGGTTAACTTCCAAATCCACAGAACCCCAAGGAGACACAAAAACATCTCAGAGGGAGGAAGTTTCGGTCAGACTTTACCTATGCAGACACTGTCACCAATGTAAGGAGCTTACTATATTTTTCCATCTTGACATCTGTGTGAGGTCATTGTTGCTGTTGATTTTGTTGATTAGTGCTGCCGAGTCATTTCTGACTCAGCAACCCTGTGTAAGGTTTCTGAAGATCGGCTGGTGGGTTTGAACCACAGACCTTGCCGTTCAAACTGACCTTGTGGTCCAGTGCTTGCCCTACAGCACCACACCAGGACTGAGGTCATTAGGTAATCAGAATCTGGGTCTGCAAATAACCAAGAAGGTTATTTGACCCTTTGACAGAGATGTAAGTAGTCTTGGTGTTGTTGTTGTTATGTGCCGTGGAGTCAGTTCCGACTCACAGCGACCCTGTACAGGGTTTCCGAGGCTGTAAATCTTTTATGGGAACAGAAAGCTTCATCTTTCTCCCGCGGAACAGCTGGTAGTTTCGAACTGCTGACCTTGAGGTTCGCAGCCCGAATCGTAACCACTACGCTACCAGAGCTCCTTAGTCTTGGTGTAGTGTAGGAGAATAAGCACTCGACCTCGAGGTCGGTTTGATCCACAAAGTCAGCAATTCAAATTCACCAGCAGCAATTCAGGAACCCTATACAGGGTCACTGTAAGTTAGAACCAACTCCACAGTGCTTAATAACAACAGAGTTATAAAGTCATACAGATGTTGGTGATAGATTTAAGAATCAAAGGCAGCATACTATTGCATAACCCTTAAAGACCATTCTCAGACCCTGACTTTGTTTACTAAATGCGCCAGAATAGCTTATGAGAGGTTGATATAAAACAGGGTCCAACCCCATCTGTTCTCCAATCTCCAAGTTATGCAAAAGCCAGGGTAACCTTTCTAAAATATAATACAAACATGCCTCTTCTCTGCATAATGTTGACCTCCGAAAAAGGGTCAAACTCCTTAATACACCATCCCTAAGCCTCATCACCATCTGGCCACAACCCCCCAATTCACTCAGTCTCATCTCATTTACCCGGCCTGCCTTGAACCATCCACTGTCTCCCCTCTCCCCTGCCCAAATATGCCAGCTTTTTCGTGGCTCTGTGTTTGTCGGATTTGTTTTGTTTTGTGCACATACTGTTTCCTCTCTTTTCCCCAATTGGCAATTCATCTTGAAGATGCAGCTCATGTTTCTATTCTCAGCACCTACCACAGAAACAGGTAGGTAGTAAACTCTGAAAAATGTGAGTATTTATTGAATGAATAAACGTAGACTGTTGACAATTGAAAATACAGGCAGAATAACAAACTGGAAGCTTAGCAATCATTTTCTGACTAAATTTTTCAACTTATTGGCTAAGTTCTTGGTTGAAAAGGAGGAGGTGTTCTATGGTGCCTTCACCAAGCACTCTTGATAGCCACAAAAGAAAACAATTTCTGAAAGTTATGATTTCAAACCAAGCTGCCCCTTACTTTTAAAGGCAAAGTCCTCATCAAAACCTGGGACAAACTTGCACTTGAGTGCAAGAAATCCAGTCGGCAACATTTGCTACTATTTTACTGTTTGTTTCTCTATGGCTTTTTGGTTTATTTGTTTGTTTTGTGGGGTTTTTTTTTTTGTTTTTTTTTTAATATTACGTCTTTGAATTACAAAAAAAAATAATAATCATAATGGCATAGGTCCCAGAAGGAGACCCTATTGTTGTTACTGCTGTTCAGTGCTGTTGAGTCCGCTCCAACTCAAAGCAACTTTATGTACAATAAAACGAAGATCCTCACAATCACTGCTACACTTGTGCCCGTTGTTGCTGCAGGGGTCTCCCTCTTTTTCCCTATTTTTACCAAGCATGGTATACTTCTCCAGTGACTGATCCCTCCTAATAATAAGTCTGAAGTATGAAAGACGAAGTCTTACCATCTTGGCTTCTGAGGAGCATTCTGGCTATACTTCTTCCAATAAAGATTTGTTATAAATTCTAGTTGTCCATGGTACCTTTAATATTCTTCTCCAACACCATAACGCAAATGAATCAATTCTACTGTGGTCTGCCTTATTCATTGCCCAACTTTCACATGCACATGAGGTTACTGAAAATACCATGGCTTGGTTCTGGCACCTTAGTCCTCAAACTGCTATCTTTGCTCTTCAACACTTTAAAAAGGTCTTGTGCAGTATGTTGTTCTATTTCTTGACTGCTGCTTCCATGAGTGTTGATGGTTGATTCAAGTAAAATGAAGTGTTTCACAATGTCAACCTTTGCTCCATTTATCATGATGTTATTTATGAGTCCGGTAGTGAGGTTTTTCATTTTGTTTATATTGACGTGCAACCTATACTGAAAGTTGTGGTCTTTGATCTTCATCAGTATTTCAAGTCCTCTTCATGGTGACTTCATTTGTGTCTTAAAGAGTAGAACTGCCCCCCAGAGAGTTTCCCAAGCTGTAATCTTTATAGTAGCAGACTGTCAGATCTTTTCTTTCACAGAGTGACTGCTGAGTTCAAACCAACAACCTTTAAGTTAGCCACGGAGCCCTGGTGGACCCCTTTCACCCCCAGGGCTCCTTAGTGATGAGGGTAAAAGCGATTGCAATTGTATTTAGGATGGTGTTTTGTTCTGTTGTACATAATAAGGTCACTATGAGTCAGAATCGACTTGAAGGCACCTAACAAGAACAACAACATTGGATGGTCAAGGTGGACCTTTCTGAAAAGCAAAGATTTGAAGGAGGCAAGGAAGCAAGGCTACTGATATCTGGGGAGATCTTCCCAGGCAGAGGGTACAATGAACACCAAATATCCTGAAGCATGCCCTAAAACTCTGCTGTCCACTATAGTAGTTGTGGTGCTGTAGGAGAAGCACTGGACTGGTAACCATTAGGTCAGCATATCAAATCCACCAACCACTCTTGGAAACTCTATACAGCATCATTATGAGTGATTATTTCAATGTAAATTAATTAAACTTAAATAAATTTGAGAAATTCAGTTCTACAATTGCATTTGCCACATTTCAAAAGCACAGTGGTGATCATATTGGACAGAGCAGAGCCAGAACATGCCCACTGTCATAGAAAGTTCTACTGAACAGCATTCTTCCCAAGAGGGCAATATTACCAGAGCAGGTGGAGCAAGTAATAGAATAACAGTTAGTGAGGTTAAAGGGGCACAAATGTGTAGGATCCTGGAGACCATTATAGGAATTCTGGTTTTTATTCTGGATGAGGTAGTAAATGGAGGGTTTTGGCAGAAGAGTAATTTGATCTGATTTTATAATGAAAGGAATCACTTTGGGTTTTTTGTTTTTTTTTTGTTTTTTTTTAATAATAGCGAAGAAAGATGGTCAAGGATGATAGCAAGGGAGGTGGTAGAAAGTGCTCACTAAATCCTATGATTTTTGAAGTTGGTACCAGGAGTATGACATTATTAAGACAATGAAAAAAGTGTATAGTTGGGCATAAGGAAGATCACTGGACTGCTAATCCCAACGTCAGCAGTTCAAACTCATCAGCTACTCGGAGGAAGACAGACGAGGTTTTCTGCTCCCATATACAGGGTTGCTATGAGTCAGCATCTACTCAATGGCAATGGGAATTTGGGCATAAGAGAGGCTGAGTTTTACTCTAGCCTGACTTGGATTTGAGAATACTGTAGCACTCCCATCTGAAATGTCCAAGGTCGCAATCCAAGTAGTGTGAGGTAAGACAAAAACCAGGTCCTGACTATAGATTTAAGATTCCTTGGCAAATGTGTAAGAGTTGAAATAAGCGTGGAGGTTAAACAGAAGACTACTAAAATCTGGGCTTTGAAGAACATCCACAAGAGATCCATGGGCCAGGAAAGAAGACAAACAATACCCAAGTCTTAAGAATATTGGAGTGTCAACAGTAAAATAGCACCGAGATGTCCAAGAGCTCAAGAAGAATAAAGTTGTTTGGGAAACAGTCTCAAGATTTGGAAAGTGAAGTTTCTCCTATAAAGTGGTGGAGAGAGAAGCTAGGTTAGAATCATTTCCGTGAGTACAGAGGGACCACTGGCACTGAGAAGGAACAGTGTGATTAATTGTGGCGTTTCTCAGCACTTACAGGTGTTTCTAAAGTATCATTTAATTTGGTCCCCGTCAAAGGCTAGTGTCAATTGTGTTAAATGCTATGCTGTGACAATTTGAATATACATATTTTTGTAATTCAAAGTTTATTTAAGATACTTAACAGTGAAAAAAATTTTTTTTTATATTTGGCTTTTTGTGTGTGTGAGAGGTCCATGTATTGTTGTTGTTAAGTGCTGTTGAGTCCGTTCTGTGAACTAGGAATCAGATTTCTCCTTCCCTCCTTTAAGGTCTAGCTCTGCACAGAACTAGCTCTATGGCCTTGGCCAATTCATTCAATCTCACTGAATTCAGTTATCCTTTTAGTGTGTGGGAGGTTACTGGGAGCAGGGATGGGGGGGGGGGTTTCATGAGAATTTAAATTTGATAGTAGTCTGATTTATTTCATTTGTAATCGTCTTGTTATCGAAATGGTACCTCGCTTTCCATGCTGATCAGTACACAAATGAAACATGCAATCCTGACAAGTGTCTGTTTCACTTTCAGTTGTAATTAGAGAGAGAGAGAGAGAGAGAGAGAGAGGGCACTTGAAGAAAGGCAGGCGCAGGAGTGTAGTAAAATAATGAGTGAGATGTGTGCGGATTGTGCTGCCAGAGGGGATGGAAGAGAAGAGCGGACTAGAACAGACAAGCAGTCGTCAGGACTCTTGTTACTAGGGCGGTCAGCGTCCTTGGTTACCGTTCTACTGCACTGAGTTCTCTCGCTCCTACTGGCGGAGTTCTGGGCCCCGCCTTGCAGAGCGGAGAGTAAAGCGCACCACCTAACAAGTGCACCCATAATCTGGGTCGGAAGCCGCTGACCCAATTAGGAACCACGAGTGCGGGAGTTTTGCAAAGCAGTGGTCATCTGACGCCCACGCTAAAAGAATAAAAAACAAAAAACCCGCCTAGAAACCGAAAATGGGGAAAGGGATTATTGTTAAACTGAAGTTTTTAAGGGTGATGAAAACAAAAAACTTCGGAAAGTAGTAGTGATTGCTGCACAACATAGTGAATGCAATTAAATGTCACGGATTTATAAATGTAAAATTGGTTGAAATTTTACATATCACACACACACACTCACAAAAAAAATTCTTAAAAAAAAAAATAAATAAAAAGTCCCCAGCCCCAGGGCTGCGCAAGGAACTAGAGAAGGCGGGTCGGGGTCCCCTACCCAGACTCACGCTATATTCCCTCAGCCAGGAGTCGAGCTTCTCCGGCAGTGATCGTAAATATTCGTTGGAGACTAGTTTCCTCAGGTTTTCTGCCATTGCTCGCTTTTCCGCTCGCCCCACTCTGATAGATGGAGACTTGGAGAGGTCCAGCCGGGGGCGTCCGCGGGACCGCGGGGTGGAATAACGGGAAGGTTGTTATCTTCCTAGGGGGCTCAGAGCGTGGCAGGTGTTTCCATCTCCCCCCCTCGGGTTGGACAGGGTAGGGTTCGGGAAGCCGAGGGGAGGTGCCCTGGGCCGCAGCCGCCGCGCCTCATCCGCTGTCCCGCAAGATCTCTGTGCTTCCGGCGGCCGCCCGCGAGCCCCGGCCATAAATACCCTGCGATGATTAAACAAACCCTGACGTGGGCTGCGGCTGCCAGGGACGCGCGCGTCCAGCGTCCTGGCAACGCTTGAGCAGTGCCCCCTCCCTGAGGCCCTCCCACTGCTTCCAGAACCCGGGTGCGCCATGTTTCTGCTCCTGCTACTTCTTGCTCTTCCTCTTACTGCTGTTGGTACTGCTGATGATCGAAGGCGAGGGCTCCCGAAGCCACTGAGACTGGGTTGGGCTGGGCCTGGACGGCTCACCCAAGGCCCTAGATGGGCGCAGCAGCATTACCTGTTGAACCGCAGCATCGCTTGGAGGGAGTCTGAGGCCCAGAACCCACCTCCCCACCCAGATATCAAGGCAGCAACGCCCATCTAGAAAAGCAGACGTTATTTTTTCCATAGAAGTTTTTGGCTAAACTCTCAAGAAAGCGTTTGTTTGGCTCCTTTCTTTATTCTTTCATCTCTCACACTTTTAATTAAATCATCATTTGTAGCACGAGTCAGGCTGTTAATCTCAAGGTCAGCAGTTCGAAACTACCAGCGGTTCTGTGGAAGACGGATGAGGCTTTCTGCTCCCGTAAAGATTTACAGCCTCGGAAACCCGACTCCACCACCAGGGTTTACTTATATGAAACGTGCTTTAAATTTTCAGTCCTTCCAATTTCTTTCTTTTGCTTTGTTCCTTGGCCCTGGATGGGTACCCAGATAAACGGATTTTAGCTCCAGTATGTTCACAAAGGAAAGCTAATTCAAGTTTGGACAAAATTTGACAATATGTCTTTAGAATTACTGAGCCCATTATATAAAGCTCCATTTAAGGAGCTCTGGTAGCGTAGTGGTTAAATGCTCCGCTACTAACCAGGAAACAAGAAACAAAACATCCACTGGTTGCTCCTCAAGAGAAAGGTGGGGTCGTCTGCTACTGTGAACATGTACAGTCTTGGAAAGTGTGGGGCAGTTCTACTCCATCCAAGGAGCCAGTGTAAGTCAAAATCTACAGACATCTGTGGGTCTAACTGGAATTAGACTGAAAGTTCAGACAAGCTGTGTCACTATTTCAAAAGGATGCCTTCAATTAAGCAGACTGATCAATTGAATTTAAGAAATGAAACCACAACGATCTTCCTTACTAACTTTAGAAGCCCTTGTTTTAAATACTACCATCAATTGATGTGCTCACTGAAAACCATTCTTAGCTAGTCATTAAACAATTAGGGTGTAACAGGGCCTCAGCATCTAGCTAGCTAGTTTAACTCAGGTTTCTTTTTGGAGGTACTTGAAGATGAGCATCGCATATATAAGTGCCATAAAATTCACATTTTCTGTTTCTCTGAGCTATGGTGGTTTTATCATCCTTCAGTGAAGATTTAAAGCTCATGTCAATAGCTTATGTTCCTGCTAGTTATGTGTGGGGGGCAGGGCAACTCACAAAATAAGGGCTGTAAGGAAGCATAAGTGTTGTTATAGTAGAATTAAAGAAAACGAAAGTGAAAAAAAATTTAAAAACACTAATATTTATTATATGTCTTCTTCCTTTTAAAAATAAAGGAGAAATCAAGAAAGGAATGGAGAAAAAACTCACAGATTTCTTAATCTGGGGTCAACAATTTCCTACAACAATTGTAATCTTTGAACAGTGCTAATTTTCTTATTCATGGAAAACAAATTGGAACAATTGTTTGTGTCAGGAAATAAGAGGTTGAATCCTGGCTTAATGGCCCTAGTTCTTATTCCAGGAGCCCTAGTGGTGCAGTGGTTAAGCACTTGGCTCCTAACTGAAAGGTTAACAGTTTAAACCACCCTCTGAGGTAGAAAGCTGTGGCTTCCATAATTACAACCTTGGAAACCATAAGGGGCAGTTCTACTCTGTCCTCTAAAGTCGCTGTGATTGGAATTGACTCATTACCAAGGGATTAGTTAGATTTGGTGCCTATCCTTAATTAGCTTGTAAACCTTAGTTTTCCTCATCTGTTAAAGAGACACAATAGTTCTTATTTCATAAAATTATTATGAGATTAAATAAGAAAATTCATGTAAAGCTCTCAGCTTCGTTTAATACTATACTAAGTGCTGGAAGAATGCTACCATCAGAATAACTAGGAAGGGTGATTACAGTATTTAATAGCTTAAGCCAAGCGTGGGGGACGTCAGCTCTGTGGGCCAGATGTTGTTGGTAAGTGCCCTTGAGTCGGTATAGACTCACAGCAATCATGTTTATGGTTTCTGAGGAGTGCTTGATGAGTTTGAACCATTCGGTTCAAACTGTACTGTTGTTAAGTGCCATCCAGTTGGTTCCGACTCATAATAAGCCTGTATAGAGTTTCCCAAGGGTGGGTGGTGAGCTTGAAGTGCTGAACTTGCAGTTCAAACAGACCTTGCAGTCCAGCGCATTTACAACACCACATCAAGACTCCATCCATCACATTGTTGTTGTTGTTGTTAAGTGCTGTTGAGTCGGATCCAACCAATAACAACTCTGTATAGGATTTCTGAGGAGCGGCTGCTGAGCTTGAAACTGCCCACCTTGTGTTTCAAACAGTTTGGCAGTCTGGCACATTAACCCATAATGCCACGTCCATCATATTGTTGTTGTTATTGTTAGGTGCCATCGAGTCAGTACCGACTCATAGCAACCATATGACAACAGAACAAAACAGTACCCATTCCTAGGCCAACTTCAAAATTGTTGCCATGCTTGAGCCCATTGATGCTGCCACTTTGCCAATCCATCTTGCTTGGGCTCTTCCTCTTTTTCTCTGAACCTCCACCTTACCAAACATGATATCCTTCTCTAGTGACTGGTCCCTCCTGACAATACGTCGAAAATATGAGAGATGAAGTTTGGCCATCCTGACCTCCAAGAAGCACTCTGGCTGCACTTTTCCAACACAGATCTGTTGGTTCTTTTGGCAGCCCATGGCACTTTCAATATTTCTCCTACAACACCATAACCCAAATGCATAAGTTCTTCTACGGTCTTCCTTATTCACTGTCCAGCTTTCACATGCATATGAGGTTACTGAAAATACCATGGCTTGGGTCAGGCACAGCTTAGTCCTCAGGGTGACATCTTTGCTCTTCAACACTTTAAAAAGGTTTTGTGCAGCAGATTTGCTTAATGCAATATGTCATTTGATTTTTTTTTTTTTTTCCTTTTTAACTCTGCTATTTCAAACAGTAACATTTCGTGAACTAATTTTTTTTATCTATAAATTCTAAGGGATGTTATGTTTGGGACCTATAATTCTGTTGACTGAGTACAATTTACATGGAAACATCTATTTTTTTCACATGTTACTGTGAATTACGTGATAATTAACATGGGACAACATTAGCTTTACATTCATCCTATCATATATCGTTTCATTGCCATGGTTACCATCCCCTCCATGCATCATCAACCAACTAAAGGATATACTCTGTAAGCATGCCCCCTGGTCATCAGCACACAGCCCCTCTCCCTCTCTGGTTCTAGAGTCCCCAGCCTCTGCATCTCTCCACATCATCTTCTCTGCCTCCATCCTGATGTCACTGCTTCTCTGAGTAGGGGAGGGCCCTGCACTCCCCTCTTCTCCCTTGATGGCTCCAGGAACCTCCACTGTCACTCCCCTCCTTTTGCTATAAAACATCAACCTTTACATTTCCAAACCTCACAGTCAGTCCTTATAACAATTATTCACTATTGTACCACAAGAGCCCTATCCCCATCTCTTTCATCAGCCATGCCCACACAGATTGGATACTACTCAGTGGAGATTCTACCTTCCTCCACGCCCTCTGGATCTAGGCTCCCTATTGAAAGCTTGTAAGCCAGTCACTTCTTGCCTTTGTAGTTCCCCTTTTTGGGTAGCCAATGTCCAAATGAAAGCTACGCCACCAATATTTTTAATACCAGCAGGGTCAGCCACC